ACCTGGTCAGGTAGGAATCCCAGTCCTTGAGGTCAGTTTCGAATGCCTCGAACTTTGGGTTGACGGCCATCACTGCTCTCTGTGCCAGCACTGGCACAAGTGCTGCAGCTGTTTGATCAGCTGGGTCTCGTTCTTCCGCCCTGGGTTCCTCAGGGGCTTCTCGGTCGTCCGCCGTCGTGGCATCGGTTCAGTGGTGCTGCCTACCTGCTCTATGATCCCATCCTCGTTGCCAATTGTTAGATACGAGACTCAGGCAGCAGGTGAACAGTGATTAACAGCTTTATTGAACACAAAGTCAGAAGAACCAGAATGAGACAAATCAGTGGAGCAGCAGGCTCCTTTTTAAACTGTCCGGGCTTGGCAAGCCACGCCTACAAGTCAGATAAGGTCCAATCAAATACTGTACATAAAGACCAATCACTTTGCTTCCCTCCAGAACTACCTTTGTTCTGATAGGTCTATTTACAATACCTTGTCAGATTCAAGCTCAATACATTCATTCCATTATAATACATTACATTACATACAGAACAATGTGCATTTGTAAAATATGTGGTTGCCGTTATTAACATCTCTCCACAATGGAAAATTCAAAATGATGTCTCTGGACAAACAGAGCAGTCCTACAGAGAGTTATACCCTGACTTTGTGGAAGAATCCTGCCAGATCTAATTGAGTGAAGGGAATGCAGACTAGGGAAAGGGTTAAGCATTTCTGTCCCTGCACATTTTTGGATTCCATCTATCCAAAACCAGCTTCTCCATTTTAGAACCTTGGTAATATTACATCACCTTCGTCAGCTTTCTCAGAATAGGTCTAACTAACATATTGATCTCTTACCTCCCTCTTGTGTTTAATTTGGAAACTGCATCAGAGAGATGACAAATCATACCCATTTTTTTATTTTTTTTAAATTACAATTTTTATTCTTTTACTTAAAAGTACATTCAAATGCAGAGAAAGAAACAACACCAACTCAAAAGCATCCCTGCTGATTCAATCATTATTTTCTATGAATCTTACAAAAATACCATTGTTATATATAATTTCTTTATTGAATTTTAAAGACATAACAAACACAGAAAAACAAACAAACACCCAACCAAAGATTACATTAATCAACATCATTGCAACAATCAAACTTAACTTAAAATATTTCTTCATATCTTATGTATTTTCCCACTAGAGGGCTTCTAGTGTCCTGGCCCCACTGCTGGACCTCCTGATGGCACCTGGTATTTTTGGCCACTGAGTGACACAGAGTGTTGGACTGGATGGGCCCTTGGCCTGATCCAACATTGGCTTCTCTTAGGTTCTTATGTTCTTAAGCTTCCATGGCACAGAGGGGATTCCAGCCTGGATCTCCCAGATCTTCTTCCAACCCTCTAAGCACTACAACCACCCTGGCTTTGAATGCTTTGCTATAATTTTATTGTGTTTCGATTTGTAAACTGCTCCGAGCAGGTTCCCTGGAGAGGCAGCATAGAAATTTTCTCAGTGAATAAATAACGGAAGGGGCATGACTCGCCCCGAAGAAAGTGTTATTCAGCCCTGGCTCACAAAGCGTTCGTCTTGAGATGGTGCGTCTGGCTGTCATGGCTACAGCCGCTTCTGATAGATTAGATGCAAAAATTATATTTCTCATTGGGAGCGCAGACCTACCATGTTGTTAAAACCATGGATATATATATATATATATATTAAAAATCCCTTTGTTATCATTTTCCCTATTGTTATTTTTCATTTTCTGTGCCAGAAATACAACATTTAAAATAATAAAAATAAAAGAATGAAATGTATTTTCTTCTTCCATCTGATGCTAAAGTATAATGCCTGGAGCTTATTTCATCAGAAGTAGAAAAAAGAAAAGAAAATAAGTCTAAATGTCTCCAAAAATCTGGCTTTTTGTAAGCCTCATTATACTAAACAGCCTAGCCTTGCATTGACTGATATTATGCTTCTGGAAGTCAGACAACTAAGGCTATAATTTTTACAGTATACGTAAATATAAAGGAAGCCTCCTCATACAAACTAACTAGATATCATGTTTTCTTCCCAAATACAAGGAATACTTCTACTGACATGTCACAGCTTGAAATCCCAAAGGCCTCCTTTTGTGAAATTTCTTATCTAGCAGCTATCTGTGAATTTTTCAGGGGAATTCACTGCTACATTTGTTAGAGATGATTGGGGGGGGAACCATGTAGTAACAGAGAGAATAGCTCTGATAAATCAGAATCAGTCAATAAATGTTATTTACTTATTGCATTGATATCCTACCTTTCTTTTTCAAAAGAAAACTCAAAATGGCTCGCTAAAGAAATATGAAATACACTGTGTGAAAACAGACCAATGGAAAAGGGGACGGTCTTTTGCTCCTTCCCTTACAGAGAGGCTTATCGTGGATGGCATCAGACGGGTCAGGAGGCAGTTGGCAGGGCCAGAGAGGCCAGTTCAGAAGACTTCCTCGCTCACTCTCCTGCTGAGAGACAGATAGGCTGGCTGCCGATAGGGTCTGATTATTTGGAGCTGAACTGACAAATAGCTTTGAAAGACCTCCATTAAAATAGTTCTGCACAGGAGCACTAACGTTTACTTTTTCCCCAAGTGGGTAATGCTTCTCCAGTCTGACCAGCAGAAGACAGGCTTCATCAGAGATTTTTCTGGAAACCCCCTTTAGGACTGTTCCTTCCTTCAGCCTACAGATGTTTCTTTACCTCAGCTCAAAGCAACTGGCTTTTCTACGATTGCTTAGCAGTTCTTAAAGGCCTTTTTAAAAGGTCACTTTCCTCTTCTTTATGGTCCCCATAGGGTATAATGGAGAATTGATTTGGGGCTCGGGGGGGGGGGTTTTTTGAGGTAGAGACACCAAATTTGCAGCATAGCTGTTGGTGCCTCTCCTCAAACCCCCCCCCCAAGTTTTAAAAAGATTGGACCAGGGGGTTCAATTCTATGGCCTCCCAAAGAAGGTGCCATCATCCACCATTACTTTCAATTGAGGGAAAGGCATTTAAAGAGACTGAGGTTTTTTAAAAATGCCTTCTGAGTTGACTTGCCAAGTTGTGCCACTGCACACACCCCAGCTGGCACACACCCCAGCTGACAGACAATACTTCTTTTAGCCCCACTAGCATAATATTTAGCCTTATGGACCCAAATACTTCTGAAAAGAGATAGGGTTATCTAAGTTGATGATGGACGCCTCTCATGACTGAGACTATGAATTAAAGGGGTGTTCAGATATCAGGAAACAAAATGTGGGTCCTCAGGCTATCGTAAGAAGAATGACTGAAGATCATAAAGACTCTGAAGATCTTCCATGCCAAGCAAGTCAGATCATCTTCTAATCAGATAGTTCTGCTCCTCAATGCTACATTTGAGCAACAGTTGAAGGGAGAGTGGAAGGAATCAGAGAGATAATTCAGAGTGAAAATTCCACACTTATATCCTTTCCCTAAGGAAAATGATAAACAATTCAGCATTCCCAAGGTAGATCCAGTGGCTGTAGCTTTGTGTAAAGAAACAAGCTTGCCTTACAACTAGGGATGTGCACTCGGTTCGTCCGAACCGAATGCACCCCCGAAAATGGCCCATTCGGACCCCTTTCGGGCTGCTGCAGGCTGATTCAGATTCTCTGATCTGAATCAGCTTGCCGCCAAATTGTCACCGAATTTCAGCTCCAATTCAGCCCCATTATATCCTATGGGCCATTGAAGTCAATGGCGAAAACATAGGGTATATTCTGGGGGCTGGAGGGGAGGGGGTTTGAGGGAGAGCCTCAAAGCTCACAGGGTAGCTGCTGGAGCCTCTCTCCAAGATACCAACTATGTTTGAATAACATTGGACCAGGGGGTCCAATTCTATGGGCCCCCAAACCGGTTGCCCCTATCCCCTCCATTGTTCTCTATGATGGGGGGAAAGTAACTTTTTCCCCACTATAGAGAACAATGGAGGGGATAGGGGCAACCTGTTTGAGGGCCCGTAGAATTGGACCCCCTGGTCCAATGCTTTTGAAACGTGGTTGGTATCTTGGGGAGAGGCTCCAACAGCTACCCTGTGAGTTTGGAGTCTCTGCCTCAAGCCCCCTCCCCTCCAGCCCCCAGAATATACCCTATGTTTCCACCATTGACTTCAATGGCCCATAGGATATAATGGGGCTGAAATTGACATTCGGCTGGCAGAAAGACTCCAGCTCCTACTGATGAAACTTACATGCGGGAGTCTTACTGCCAGCCAAAATTGATTCTCTCCAAATGGGCCTTTTTGCACACCCCTACCTTCAACCATGCCTTTGCCTTTCAGAAGCTCAGTACTGCAGTCTTTTACCAAGGTAGTTCAGAAACAGGCTATACTTTAGGGTGTCTGACTGACCCCCTGATTCTGCTCTGATTCAAAGAATTAGTCTGACTGATGATACCTATTTACCCCATCCAACTGAGTGTGTAGTGCTTTGTATGACCACCATATAGAATTTGTTTACATCATTTATAGTCCACCTTTCTCACTGAGAATGACAGACAACTTGGATAACAGCCATCTGTGGGTTTGCCTTGAGTTGTTATTGATGCCTTTCCCGGTTTGAATGGACAGGATTTTTTTTTTTAATGTTTCTTAGTAGAGCAGAGATTATAGCCTCAATCAGATTTCATCTGTGTAAGACTGAATTTTACATGGGGGAATAGTTTGTCTGATAGTGTCAAGAACTACGGTTGGTAGTTAATTTGATTTCTCATTGCATGCTTTGGAGGAAAAAAGGGTAGTCCTAAACTCTAAAAACATTCTTATGTGTAGCTTGTCAATGGTTGGTCAGAGTGGAGCCTTTCCCAACAGATAATGGCAGCAGAGACAACCCAAGGAGGACAGCTCAGCAGTAATTATATAGTTGGACATTTTCTTTCCACTGAAAGATATTGCATCTCCTGTTGAATCAGGTATCTGTGTGCAGAACTTGCCTGTGTGAAAGAGAAAATGTTAATGTATTAACTGATTTTGTTTCACAGCCCTAGGTCTAGATGCAATCATTGGAAACTTCGAGGTTGGAAAAGAGTTTGATGCACTGCTTATCAACACCAAAGCTTCAGATAGTCCTTTCGACTTGTTTGCCTCTGATATGTTTGAGGTAATCAAATGCTGTATCATAGACAACTATTAGGGGGTTGTTGTTGTTGCCTGCTTGCTTTTACCCGCAAGAAAGAACAATACTTGTTTTTTCTTTCCTCTTTTTAGGATATTATCCAGAAATTCCTGTATCTGGGTATGTATAGTTATGCAAATATTTTTTTTCACCTAATTGCAAACCAGATATCCTCTTGCCCTCTTTAATTTAAATCTTTTTTAAAAATCTAATACAATTAAAATGTATTTAATTTACTTAAAGTAAGCCACAGAGTTTAACCAGGGGTCATTTTGTAGAAAAAGAGCTGCAGGCGCTCATTAGCATATCTAATAGGCTATTAGCAAAATAGCTTATTAGCATGTGCCACACCCCCTGACATCACCAGAAGTGATGTCAGAAGAGGAAGCAAAAGGGGGGGAGGCATCTTCAAAGCCTCCCCTTCCCCAGCTGGCCTGCCAATACAACCTGGGGGGAGGAAGCAAAGAGAGAAGGGGTTTAAAGTTTAAAACCCCTTCTCTCTTTCCATTATATTCTATGGGCCATAGACTACAATGGAAAGAGCTTTAAACTTTAAACCCCTTCTCTCTTTGCTTCCCCCTGCCCAGCCAAGGCGGGGGGGGGGAGCGAAGAGAGAAGGAGTTTAAAGATCTTTCCATTGTATTCTATGGCCCGTAGAATATAATGGAAAGAGAGAAGGGATTTAAAGTTTCTACCCCTTCTCTCTGGAGTCGTGCCACAGCGGCGGCGTGATCTTTCCATTATATTCTATGGGGCCATAGAATATAATGGAAAGAGAGAAGGGATTTAAAGTTTATACCCCTTTTCTCTGGAGCCGTGCCACAGCGGCGGCGCGATCTTTCCATTCTATTCTATGGGGCCATAGAATATAATGGAAATATCATACCAAGGCGGGGGGGGGGGAGCAAAGAGAGAAGAGGTTTAACGTTTAAACCCCTTCTCTCTGGAGTTGTGCCACAGCGGCAGTGCGATCTTTCCATTATATTCTGTGGGGCCTGTCACGGCTCAGGTGGGGTGTCACCTGATGCTGCCACCACTCTGGTTCCAGGCTCCTCTGAGAAGGCCCAGAGCACCTTCCCAGGTCTTTAGACCTCCCTTTTGGCTGAATAATAGGTGTGAGGACCAGGCAGAGTGAACAATAAAAATAGTTTATTTTATAAGAGGTCAAACAAACAAGGAGCAGAAATATAACAGTAAGTGGGTGAAAAGAAAAGAAATCAAATTCCCTAATGCGTCTGAATATATACTGTCCCTAGCTCACTATTCCTAGCGGCACTAGACTACTCACCCTTCCCTCAGGATGAGGGTCTCTTCCCTACAGCAGCCTCAGTCCCTTCTGGCTCTGTCCCCTGGGAAGAAGAACAGCTTTTCCTGCTGCTCCAGATCTTTTATTCCAAGCCCTCTTCTTTTCCTATTGTTCAATTTTGGCTCCAAAACCTCTCAGGGTCTTCTGGGAGTTGTAGGCCCAGCCTCACCTACTGCTAGCCAGGCTCCCTGGGCCTAGTAGGCCTCTGGTGGCACAGCCCAGATCATGACAGAACCATATAACATAGTGGAAAGATCGCGCCGCTGCTGTGGCTCGACTCCACAGAGAAGGAGCACGGGGTCGGGGTTGGACAGCTGGGGGTGGGGCTTGCTGCCACCGCCATTTCTGTTTGTTCCTGGGCTGCTGGAGTGGTGCTCTGGCACGCTCCGGGCCCAACAGACCCCTGGTTTTAACCTGCTAAATTTATTTTATAATACTTAATAATGTATTTTTGTTAAGAATTAAAACATTGAATTGAAATATACCCATCAATTACTCTACCAATTACTTTCTTTTTATAATAAAGTGATTGCATGTGTAGAATTGCTTCTCTGTTCAAGCAAAGTTTCATTGTTACCTGTGGGCAGTAATAAAGGTTAATCCAATGACCTACACACCTGTGTATAGATTGGCATTGGAAGCACTGTACATGGGCAAAATGGTCTTCAGGTATGGGTGCATCCTCAGGCACAGGTTGCAGTTGCAGATGTTCGTATGTGTTATGAAGGCATTTTCTGGTGCCCTGGCACATTGTATTGGAAAATACACATTCCTCTCTATTGTTTGATATTGAAAGGAAGGCTATGTTGTCCGGAGCTACTGCATACAGGTTAGGCTCACCTTTTTTCAAGTTGTATGGAAAACAGGGTTGCCAAGTCAATTTTTCTTACTGGCGGGGGAGCCTTGCCGGCCTCCGAAAGCCGTCCGTCGACGCACGCCGCCAGCACGTTACCGGAAGTAACTCACGACGTCAATCACGTTGAGGGCATGGCCCCGATCGTTGGAGGGAAAACCATAGCGTTTTCCCTCCGATGATTGGGGCCACACCCCCAACGTGATTGACGTGGTTGCATCACCTCTGCTGCGCTTCAGGGGGCAGAGTTTCCCCCGGGGCCCAATTCTGCGGGGGCGGGAATCGGGCCTCTGAAGGGGGGGTTTACCCGCCCCCTGCCCCCCCTTGGCAGCCCTAATGGAAAACCTTTTTAGTCTGTTATCTCTGGGCCAGAATTTTTTCTGAAATATTTCATTTTTTCGAAAGCATATTTCCTTGTTCCAAAGAAGCAGTTATCTTTACTGCTTGTGCTGTTTTTAACATGCATTCAGAAGAATAGAAAGTGAATGGGCTGTATATACATATAGGGCCTTATAACTGCTAAGCAGCTAGCTGGGCAAGAGCAGAATTCTGTATGAAGTCTGTGATGAGGAAAAGGCCTATCATGTTTTAAATTGTACCCCGTTCTTCACCTTAGACTCATATGTGACGACATATGAAGACTGATATATATAGTTCAGAACTAGTGAAATATCTTGCTGGAATTAATTCCTTCCTATTTTTATGCCCATGATCAGGGGTCATTTCGTAGAAAAAGAGCTTGGGGGACTCATTAGCATAACTCATTAGCATATGCCACACCCCCTGACATAACCGGAAGTGTGTCCTCCCCACAGCCTGCGGCGACCTCCAGCGGGCACCAGCAGGGAGCTCCAGGCCCCGCCCTCCCGCACCTCACCCGGGGAGATGGCTCCCCCCCCCCAAATGACCCCTGCCCATGATTAATAATGGTACAGGAATGCATGCATCATCCTAACTTTTCTGTGTGCCTGTATGTGTGATTTCAGGTGACGACCGGAATATTGAGGAAGTCTATGTGGCTGGCAAACTGGTGGTCCCATTTTCGAGTTCAGTATAAGATTTCTGCATAATGTTCTGGTGGTAACTCTGTAACTTGGAAGGATTGGTTGAAAATGCGGTGCCTTGTGATGCTGTTCTCACTTTGTCTAGTATGTTTCTGATTTGCACAAATATTGTTTACTTAATCAGATAAAAATAAGTATTGTGTCAAAAAGGTATCCCACATATATGAAGAGCCCCTTCCATATATGCATCCCCACAACTAGGGGTGTGCATTTGGATCTAACCCAGCAGAAAATGTATCCAAAAAATACTGTATACCTTTCAGCATCCCAGATAAATCCAGGATTTCTCAAGAAAACAAAAAAAAATCCCCCCCCCCAAATCCCGGATATAGTTGGAGTAGATCTGAAAAACAGCTGAGAGGCTGGAGCACATTGCTCCTGCCTCTCAGCTGTTTGTCAGGCTTCCTACTGCAGTCCCTTTAAAGCCAGCCTGAGGATCAGCTGACCTGATAGGAAGCAGAGTGCTCCCGGCTGGCTCAACTTTGGGCTGGCTTCTTGTGAAGCCTTGTTTAAATAGGACTGCAGGGGAAGCCAGCCCTAAGATCAGCTGAACCAGCAGGAAGCAGAGCGGTCCCCACTGGATCAGCTTTGGGATGGCCTCTCGTGCAGGCTCTTTCCTACGGGTCTGCATGGGAAGCCATCTCTAAGATCAGCTGAGCTGGTGGGAAGCAGAGCACCAGTTCAGCTTTGGGCTGGTTTCTCATGCAGCCTTGTTTAAATGGGGCTGCATGGGAAGCCAGCCCAAAGATCAGCTGAGCCCACGGGTAGACTGTTCCCCACAGGTCAGCTGTTTGTGAGGCTGTCTTCTTCAATCCCTTTAAATGCCCCCTGTTTAAAGGGAATGCAGTAGAAAGCCCAGAAAACAACTGATGGGGGAGCAATGTGTTCCACCTTTAATTTTTTTTGCAGCTTTGGCACTACTTTTGCCCCCTCAGTTTTTTCTTCTTCTTAGGTTTATTGCACCCCCCAAAATTCAGGATTTCCAGAAAAAAACAGATCCAAATATAATACCAGTATTGGGATCTGGGATTTTTCGGAAATGCTGAATCAAAAGATACCGGTAAAAAAAACTTGCACACCCCTATCCCCAAACTTTAACATATTTTTATAATAGCCATAATACTTATGTCCCATCAGATAATTGGGACTTCTCTCATAAATGGAGGTTTGCAAGTTCTCAGTGAGCAGAAGGCACTTCTGCATGTGCACAGAATGGGGAGGGGATGCTGATTCCCCTCACCCAGCTGCATTGACTTGTGCATGCTGCTCCGTGGAACGGCTTTTCAGGGGGTGCACAGGGAAGGGGACCTGAACAGTCCTGGTGTCCCATTCTCTTTACAGCCTGGCTCTATTTAAACTAGCACAACATAAAGCCATTTTTTCATCCCTGATGACAAGAGAAACTACTCAGGAATTATTCACAGGGAGCGTTAAGAAGGGACAGGCCAGGGAAAACTGAGCACAGACCCAGATTTGTCCTATTTCTGTGCAATCCTACTTTGAAACCATTTTATGCATTTTGTTAACATCCTATTTCATTCTTCCCGTGAAAAGCACTTTCACTTGAGGTTGAAAGATAAGTAAGATCAGAATCTGCTAGGGTTGCCAATTCATGGTTGGGAAATTCCTAAAGATTTTAGGGGTGGAGTCTGGGGAGGGCAGGGTTTTGGGAGAGGGACCTCAGTGGGGAAGAATGCCATAGAGACCACCCTCCAAAGCAGCCATTTTCTCCAGAGGAACTAATCTCTCTTATCTGGAGATCATTTGGAATACTGGAGGATCTCCAGGCCCCACCTGGAGGTTGGCAACCATATAATCTGCTGGTCCACTTCTTTCTTAAAGCACTACAAAATATTTGTGCATTTTTAGCTTTGTCATAGATCTCATTTGGTCAAATAATTGCAGGAAAACATTCACACACCTCCAGTGTCAGTTCCCAAGCTGCTTCAGCTCTAAGCACCTGCCTTGATCTAGGGTAGTAGGCTCAAGAATACATATTTTACATATAAAATAAATCTCAGGTTCAGCCAAAGTGTGTTTAGTTAAAGAATCTCAGGTAACTGGTGTAGAAAAAGATTTTTTTCTACTTGAGACCCAAGAGAACTGCTGCTAAATGGCCCATGGTCTAAGGCAGCTTCGGAGGTTCAGTAGACAATGGAAATGCACACTGAATAGGCTGGGAGCCATTTTGTAGTCTGTTAAAATAAAGAAACAATTCTCCACCAGTCATTTCCCTGTTCTAACTCACCCACTCCTAGCGATGGGCAGGAACCGACTCACAAATTAAATTTCATGACGAATTTTGGCTGGCTGGTGGTTCAAAGTTCATCACAAGTCAACCAACATGAATTTTCCACTAATTTTCATGCCATTTGTGGTGGTTTGTGCCGGTTCATGAATGGATACATTTCCAGACAGACTGTCTCCAGTCAATCAAAATGTTTACCAAACTTCAAAGCAACTTCAAGGTAACCAGGGGGAGGGGAATTCTCCAGTCTTGGTAACACCAGTAGGTTATCTGTGTGTTTGATGTGTGTAACTTGCACTTTTGAACCTGTGCCTGACATTTTCCCCAAAAGCAGTTTCCTGGGGGCATCTTCTTTGGAGGGCCATAACTTGGACCCCGTAAATCCAATCTGTACATAACATGGAGGGAAGGTAGAGAAGGATCAGGGTGAATTCCCCTGTGAGTCTGATGTCTCTAGCTTGCACAGGGTCTGTTCTATACACTCCTGAACTTCCTGAACCTGCACCTGTCATTTCCTCAGAAAGTACTTTCCTGGGGGCACCTTCTTTGGGGGGGCCATAATCCAGACTCTGTACATCCAATACTCATCAGACTTTGAAGGCAGGTACAGGAGAGTCAGCCAGAGATCCTCTGTGAGTTTGGTGTTTCTAGCACATGGGGGGGGGCTTTCTAGTGCATCACAAACCTCACAAACTGAACTGGTTTGTTTGGCAACTAAAGTTCATGATGGTTTGTGAACTGGGTACACCACACAAACCACAAACTGAACCGCATTTCCCCAGTTCCCACATTTCCCATCCCATCCCTACCCACTCGTTTTATCTGTCCATGACAGTTTAAATACCTATTTCTTTATATTTAAACCTTTGCAAGAGGAGAAGCTGTTTAGATGGGAGATCTGGAGCATGGAAAGTGTTGGCAGAGAAGCACTCCTCATGGAAACTGCTTCTCCGGTTACTCCAATAGAAGTGGCTTTTCTGGTTTCAAAAGTGCTTTGGTGTGAATTTATACCAACATGCATGTAGAATCTAATTTGGCCTTATGAACAATGCCTTATGAAATAATTACATTTTGCACTAAAGTGATTCTTGCCATTTAATTTAGAGGAAGTCTTCAGGCCCTCCCATAGTTCTTTGCCTGTAAAAAGAAGAGCAAATTTCATATGATGGCAAATGAGAGAAATGCTGCATTTAAAATGGAACAAATAGTTGGCGCAGCCCTGTATGAATGTTAATATTAAAAAGATGAATCCCAGTCTAAACTCTGCACATATTATGCTCCTTTTATAGCAGCAGATGTCGGAAACTAAACATACATTTAGTTAGAACATTTAGATATGAATTTTATGATAGGTTTGCAATGTTTATCTATAAAAAGTTTTAAAAGCTGTAATACCTACAAAAGTTTAAATTCTTTAGTATCCTCAAATATTAGAACCTGCTGGCACAGGGGAAGCAAAATGTATGGAAGCACCTGTTGCCAAAGTCTCATATTCTCAGCTAAACAAGCCTTCCAGTCAGACAGCAGCTGTGTGGCCAACCATCTGGTTTGCTTCAGATCTAGCAAATTGTGTGAGAGAAGCCTGGTGCCACTTAAGCAAGAAACCTGACCCAGAATCAAAATCTGTGACATCCTTCAGAGCTTGCAGAGGTGCCCTATAGATTTTTTAAATTCTTGATGAAAGGCAGTAGAAGCAGGGGATATAAATCAGGAGTGAAGATGGCTCATTCTAGAGGGAATACTTTCCCTTTCAAAGGCTTGGAGGGAGAAAGGGTCCCTTTGCTACTATTGCTTTTTAGTAGCAACCCGAATGTTAATATAGCGTTCAGCTGGCTGATAAATAAAAGCACTGTCAATTGCTGGGGTATTATATTAAGAACATGCACTGTGAAGTTGTCCCCAGTTAAAATATCACGTCAGCCATCAACTCACTGAGAGGCCTTAAGCAAACCAATGTATGTGAGTCTCAGCACCCTGCTCCGTAATATGAGAACAGTGATTATAGTTAAGGTTTAAGGATTACTATGACAATGTATATGAAGCACTAAGGAAAAGAATCATATAAATATCAATATATTACAAAACGCTGCTCTACACTGACAGCCAGGCAGCTGCAAATGGCTCCCAGCCTGGAAGGAGAGCACTTTCAGAAGGAAAGGGTCTTCTTTTAATCCTTTTAGTATTGTTGTGGGATACTTTTAGGTTATCTGCTGTCATACAGTGTTGTTGTCCCCATGGTTTCTTAACAGGAAAAGGTGATGATGCCTTCATGCCTGTTCACTGTTGCATAGACGAAACAGAAACCCTTGGCAAAGGGAAAGTAAGTTAAATAGGCAAAGAATAAAAGGCCTGGTATCATCTGAGGGAGTTGTGTTGGCCAACAAGAATCCGTTATTGTACACTGTAAACAGAGGACAAAACCTTAAGAAAAACATCTGTTCTCCGTCCCTTTAATTCTTAGAAAGTTTGATACTGGATGTGTTTTCTTTTTCTTATGTCCTATGTCAAAACACAATATAAAGACAGGGTAGATTATGAAAATCTAGCTCATTGGGAACAATCGCTTCAATGTGCACTTGTGGACACAAGCACCTTTTTTAAAACTTACAAATGGAGTTTATTTAAATGTTTTGATCTTCTTTATCTTACTGTGCCACTTGTTAACCTGTTTGAAGATGTTAATGATGCCTGCTGCTGAATATAGCTTGTGCTTTATGCAGTTATTTGAATGATTTTTATGTGGCAAGTAGAGGTCTGCACTTAAAAACGTTGCCTTGCCTGAGTGTTCTGTGTTCTGCAGTATTTGCAAGCAGAGATGGTTTAGTGAAGGAGAGGGACCACAATTTACTCACAGCAAATACTTTCTCCCAATGCACTGAGTGTATAAACTTTTCTTTAAAAGACAAGAGGGCCAATAAATAAATAAAGGGCTTCACCCTGATGCTTACACCAAAAATTTAGGGCTACTGTTTATTTAAAATATCTAAGTCTAAACACTGAATAGAAATATAAGAGGTTTCATATGACAATTCATCATCATCATTGCTGCATAATAAAACCACA